TAAAATTTTTCTTCTCCTGATGTAAGTGACCTCATGGAAGACTGTACTGAGATGTTATTGGAAGTAGTTGGAAAGATTAGCAAAAAACAAAAAGAAAATGAAGCAAATGAAAAAGTAAGGTAATTATTAACCTCAAGAAATACTAAAAGTAGAAAAGAAAATAATCATACATTATGATGCCTCTATATGAATAATATTTGCCGAGCATATGAATGGGAACAGTGATTGTAGATTTATCCAAAAAGTATGATCTAATCATATTGGAAAAATGGAAGAAGAAGGGGATGGTAGCCTAAAAGAACTATATCCTCTTCTACCATATGGAAAATATATAAATGATGCTTAAAATTGATTTATGAATACATAGCACTACATGCATTTTATTGAGAAATATGGAGATTTGAACAATGTCAGAAACTGCTAAGAGTTAAAAGTGGTTACTTGTGAGGAAGGCAATATTGTTTAAACAAGCTTTTAGTATTATTTGAAATATTAAATTACATGTTTGAATTTCTTCAATAAAATTATAATTAATAAATTTAAATTGACTGTATGAGTTTCCCAAAACGTTTGGTATACAAAAGACTCTCAAAAAAGGTTCTTCTTGTGGTATTATTAATATTGAAAAGAGTCTTGGCTAATTTTCAGATGCTACTGAATCTGGTAATATCTGCCAATGACTCTTTTGGGGGTTTTAGACAGGAGATTTAATTCACTGGACCTTAATGTTTTTTTGTTTGTTTGTAAAGTGAAGGGGTTAGCACATATATATATATATATATAAACTCTTAGGCTTGCTCCAGCCCTATTATGCTGTGAATAGAGCCTTTTATGCAGCTGGCATACACTGACAGGCTGCTGTCACACATGAAAAACTTGGCTGCTTTTAAAGGACTGACTTTGATCTGGGCCATGGAGCTGAGGAGATGAGGAATGTCTTAATCACTGATTCAAGAACAGGAAAGGTGAGTGGGAGAAGGGGGTTTGGGGTGGGGGAATGGATGGATCAAGCTGGACAAAGGACAGAATAAGACAATCTGATTTTAACCTCTGGAAAAATTCTTACCTTGCAGAACTGATCTATTAAAATAGATGATGTCCTTGAATGGACTTTGTAAGTGAAAACCCTATACTAGGAGGTATCTCTAGTATTGTTCAGAAAGGGGTCAGTGCCCTCTGCTGGGAGAAGATCTGGCCTGGGAGTTGAGATATTTGGATTCTAGTGTTGATTTGCTATTAATCTTCTTGGTAAGACTGGACGAGCTCTCTCATTTCCTTTATCTCAGCTTTAGGATTGGTAAAATAAAGACTGACACAGCTGCGGTTCTTCAGGTAGCAGAAATCAGGTTTGGCAAAAATAGGATAACTTGCAGAACTGAGACAAAAACTTCACGAAGGACAGGAACCCAAGATGTTCCGGGGCTCTGGGCTGAGGTTCAAATGATTGAACAAGATGGCATAGGTAGAGCCTAGTGGAAGGGATATCAGTAGCCACTCTCGAGCAGGACCACGAGGCCTCAGCTAATGTAGGGTTCTTAGTCCATTCCACTTGTGTTGCTGTAACAAAATACCATAGACTGGGTGGCTTACAAAAAACAGATGTTTATTTCTCACATTTCTGGAGGCTGAAAGTCAGAGCTCAGGGTGCCAGCACGGGCTGGTAGCGTCCTCTTCTGCATCCCAGAACTTCTCATTGTGATGGGGGGAGGGTTCAGGTATCTCCTTAGGGCATCTTTTATGAGAGCACTGATTCCATTTGTGAAGGTTCCATCCTCATGAGTTGAGCACCTCTCAAAGGCCCCAGTTCCTAATACCATCACTTCTGGGGTTAGGATTTTAACCTATGAATTTGGGGGAGACCGTAGCACAAGGTTTAATTCATCCATTGCTGGATCAAAGGGAGATCTGGGCTAGTGGTCTCAGAAGGGGATGGTGGAGAGGACAGTCGGGGTTGTGGGGAAGGAGCTATTTACCAGTTGGCGTGGCAGTTTTTCAATATTTTCCCCACCAGCATTATTATCAGCTGGTGCCTGCCTACTGGCTGAGTATGTACCCTCTGTTACCAAAAGGAGGAGGAGTGGATGTTGGGCTGAGGAGAATGATAGCTGGCTGTTAGAGAAGGGTTGGAGTAGAATTGCAAATAACTCATGAAGCTGGAACTATGGCTTGCTACAGAGTGTGATGAAGAAACGTGTTATGGTATTTTTGGTTCTCACAATGATGTGGAGATGGGGAAGGTGCTACTGGAATTTGGTAATGGAGTCAGGCATAATAATGTTCTACAACATCTGGGGCAGTCGTGCTGCCCTACTCAAATGCCAATAGTGCATCTGTTAAGACACATTGCTGAGAATTTTCTGGAAGGGGCTGCTTAGGGGAGTACAGCCATATGCAATAGGCAGAAGAGGGACAGTTCTGGTTTGGATTTATTATTATTGGATTTATTCTTATTATTTATTATGTATTATGGATTAGGTCCGTAAGTACATCTGTCATTCAATTCTCATGACTGTCCCCTGATATACAATTAATGGCCCCCTTGTACACAAGGAGTTAGGCTCAGAGAGGCACCAATGTGACACAAGCAAGGGGCAGAGTCCCTTCTATTTAAGTTTTAGTTCAAAGTCTACCTGCAAGATTTCAGGGGATTGAGAGGAGAGGGGTGACAGGGTATGTTTGTCCTTCGAGAGTCCTTTGAGAGAAACAAGATCACAGTCATGTCACAAACTCAGGATGGAGGCAGTTAATGTGGGAAGCTCAAATTACTGGCTATCTTTGAAAAGGCCCCAGATATTCACATGTCCATTCAGATACAATTTTTCTTAGATTAAGAGGGTAAATCATTAATGGGGTCTTCTCTTGTTTCTATGATTCAGTCCGTAGTACTGTGCCAGACTCTGAGGGCTGACCTTAAGATAAATGTTGAATAAACACCCCCTTGATAGGGCTGGAAATTCACATACAACTGCAACTTAATAGAAAACTGATTGCAACCAGCTATTCTGATTTAACATTAAGGGAAGTTTACTTACATTGAAAGTGAAATGCAAGAAATCAAAAGTTAGAGACGAAGGAAGGGTGAGTTAGAAATTTCAAAAGTAACATTTGATGCCATTACAAAATCAATGGACATTATTGTATAAGATTTTTATTGAACAAATATGCTTCTCTGCTGTATATGGGTTTTTTATATTTCATATGCACACATTAAGCACTTAAAAATCAGGAAATTCTTCATTTTCAATTTTCTATACTTTCATAATAAATACTTTTCCTCCCCTTTTGCTTAAAACTGTGCTAACATACCACTCCTGCCCTAAGGGAATTATAAGAAAAGCTGTTTATACTAGTCATCTACATCTTGGTCAAAATGAAAGATGTTAAGTAGATTTTATTAGTGAAAAGGGGAACAGTATGAAGGGAGTAGGTACTTGCATTGCGGGTAGTGGGGCGAAGAAGAAAGGAGATCCATCTAAAGTTGAGAGTTGTTTCCAGGAATAAATACTGCATTTCAGGCGTTCTTGTCCCTGCCTGTCAGTCTAGGGTGGAGAGTAGCTTTCCAGTTCCCGCCCTTTCCCAAACCCCAGGTGCAGACACCAGGTGGCGCTCGCACACTTGCCTTATTTGCATCTGGAGCGTTTGTACTAAACGCCTGTTTCCTAAATAGTTGCGAGGGCTGCCTGACCCCAGAGAATTGAGTTCAGTGAGGACGGTTTGGAAAGGGATCGCTGGACTCAGGGCTGCGGTGGGCGCCGGAGCGAGCCCTTTCCACTCCAATAGCACAGCGGGCGAGGAAGTTCAGGATGCACACACCACGCATGTTCGGGGAAAGCAGAGGAAGTGGCTAACAGCGGTTGGGATGGTTAGGTTGGGATGGTTAGGGTGGAAAGACCCCCTTGAAAGGTTTCAAACGTCACAGCCCCTCTTGCTGTGTTCTCAGCTGGGCACGAGAATCGTTCTGGCGCTTGTAAGAGTACCGCTTGTGCTTGCTCTTCTCTCCCATCACCAGCCTTTATTGGTGGTGAAATACTCACTTCAGTCCTTCAAGACGAGAAAGTATTTTCTCATAAAAATGAGTTTTTGCTAACTTCTCAGTTTCTATACCACCCTCCCCAACATTTGTGCACACACGGCAGGCTGGACTGTAAAGAACGCCGGGGGAGGGAGGGTTGTTTGCACTGTTCAGAAGTGGGTAAAGATGTTGACTTTCTAAGGGCCCAGAGGGTGACATCGCAGGGCTGTCCCTAAAGACGGGGCGCGGGCTCTGGAGCGCCCCGTATGCTTCAAAGTCTCAGGGTAGACTACCTTTTGGAGGGTGGCCTGCATGCATCAGAATCACCAGAGTGATAAACACAGAGTCCCTGGCCTCTGCCACACCTATTGGAAGGGAACCTGCTGCTTATGAAGTCCCAGCACAGGCCACTACTGACCTTTGAAACCTACAAGCATGTCCGTTTCTACACCTCCAGATGATTCTCCTGCCCATTAAAGTTTGAGCTTCGCTACTTTGTTGTTTTATAGCCCTTGTTCGGAATTGTTCGCAAAAGGAAGGGAGAGAAATGGAGAGAGGGTACCCCTTACTGGGGGATACAGGTCGCCCAGCGTAGGTTCCTTGACGCAGGAAGGCAAGGCTGGTCTTGGGAATGGAGAAGTGGGCAAAGAGTATTTGAGTACGGGAGAGCTCTCGACAGCGCAGAGACCGGGGGGCCGGGTGCCTAAGCCCCATACTAGCCTCGGTAGGGGTGCAGGGGCAAAAGCAGCTCTTTCCCGGCGCCCGACATCCAGCTCTGGAGCGCACCTGCGGCGGCGGCCAGGTCTGGGGTTGGGAGGCGGGGGCGCCGTGGGCGTTGCGGCGCGGACTCCAGCGAGCATCCCTGTGGGGCGGGGATGGGGAGAGGGGGAGGAGATAAAGTGGGGGGCGTTTGGGACTTAGGCTTGCCTCCCACCTCACCAACCTCCGCCCCCGCAGCCACCTTCCGCTCTGTAATTGGCCGCCGGCTGGCCTCCCAGTCCTCTTATCTGATCCTGGGCGCCTAGCAGCGGAGAGCGCTGGAGAGGAGGAGGCAGCTCCGGGCGGCCGGGAGTGGGAGCCGGAGAGGGAACAGTAGAAGGAGCACGCGTTGGGGAGGGAGAGGGAGAGGGAGAGGCCAATTAGACGGCGGGAAGCGAGCGAGACCACCGCGCCGCCCAGAACCAACTCACTGCGGAACTCGGATCCTCCCTAGGCACTGAGAGGTCTCCAAACTAGGCTGAACTTTGCTCTGCACAGGTCAGTTCCCATCTTTCTCTGCTCTTCTCCGGGCCGGTTTGAAAAGTCTCTTAATGAAAAAAGAAACGTGGAGAAGACGAGCCACCTGCAGATACAATACAATTCCATAAACTTTCTCCACGCGCGCGCCCAGGATGGTCCTGGACCTTTGGGATGGGAAAGGAACGTGCACCCGGATGCCTCCTCGCGGGAGTCGCTGGCAGGGAGATTGGAGGCTCTGCGGAAAGGAATGCAAAGCCAGTGAGGACGCCTTGTGCTGTTCCCGGGAGTTTTTCCCTGTGCTTGGGTGCTGTGAGCGCGCGGAGGGAGGAAGCGGGTTTGGCTTGAGGCACGGGCGACTCCAGCATTTCCCAGAAGGGGCTTAGTCAAGGAGACAGTCTGGTTAGAAAGGGGCTTGGGGATTTGTCTTGGAGGGCTGTATGTAAATAGAAAGCACGCCGTTTTTATTTAGACTATAATGTCACTTAGGAGAGCACTCCATGGAGATCATGGGGGACAAAACTCACGCAGCCACCCCTTGGTACCGCCACAAATTACCGCTGGGGTCCAGGCGCTAGTCCCAAAGAGGAGAACCAGACAGCGCATTGACGGAGGGTGTTGGCGGTAGCCACTTTTCCAGGTCTCAGCGTCAAGAAACCCTGATGCTTGGTGCGTTTTTCTTTGGTTTGCGCCCAGGAGGTTGTGGCTTTGAGGTGCACCACCAAGCTGTGGAGTTGGAGGCTCCTCTGTCCCTCAACTGCTCCCATTTATTCCTCTGGACCCTTCCCAGCGTCAAGGCTATTTAGTCTGCAGCGCCTGGGCGGAGATGCATTCAGCCGAGCTGGGCTCTGGGGGGCAGTGCTCATAGGCAAGACAGGGTTAGGGCCGGGCCAAGAGGAGCCGGCTGGGGCCACTGGAATGTCCTCAGTGCTAGGCGAAGAAGTGGACGCCACCTGCAAGTCCAGGTCTACAGGCACTCGGTTTTGCAGCTGGGTTCTCGGGTCCGCTGTAAGATGCATGTCCTGTGGCAGTGAGCTTCAGCGTTGACCGGGAGTCGACCCTTTCTCTTAGGTACAGACGTTGGATTTATCCTTAGGAAAAGTGCCCAAATGGAGCGTGTGTAAAGCGCTCACAGGGGCCTGGATTTCCCCCTGAAAATTGCTTCTGGAGCTGCTGCTGAGAGTCCCATTCTCTCTGCAAGTTTTGCAGAGGCTGATGCTGGCCGTAGCTGAAGGGGGCGGTAGGGGGCAGGAACAAAGAAATATAGGGAAGAAACTTTGGTGGCTCTGTGGGGAGCAGAAGTGAAAATGAGTTTTCCTAAAACTCCCCTGTTAAAGGATCTGGGGCTCCTCATCCACAAAGGGCCAAGCGGGCCACTTGCTAGTCCCCGCATGCGATAGAGAGGCCCAACTCAAACCCAGCAAATGTGCTCAGTGTGGTCGCGGTGAGAACTGGTGTTCTGTTTCTGACAAGGTGGCCCAGTTCTGCATACAGGGAGCTCACTAGTAAATTTAGAATGAGTGAGTGAATAAGTGAATGAATAGCATTTGGGTTTTTGGTTGTTCCAAAAGAACAATTTGGATGAATTTCCTCTGAACTTGGCCCAGTGGCTTGGTTACTCTAAGAAGACTTCTGGATAGCTTTTTTTTAAACAGCTTTATTGAGATATATATATAATTCATATACCTCAGAAGTGTACATTTCAATGGCTTTTAGTGTAGTTGCAGAGCTGTGCAACCACAATCAATTTTTGAACATTTGTTTTCACTCCCCAAAGAAATTCCATGCCTATTAGCAGTAATTCCCCAGTCTTCCTGACCTCCCTTCCACCATCCCTCCCGCACCCTGGCAAGCACTAATCTACTTTCTGTTGACATTTCATATAAATGGAAGCATACAATATGTGTGTGGTCCTTCATGACTGACTTCCTTCACATAGCAAAATGTTTTCCAGGTTTATGCATGATGTACAGGATACTCTCTCCCTAAGCACCGACATCTCCTCCTGCTGCTTGGGGAGCCCTGAGCCAGGGTAGACCTGAACCTCCACTGAAGCCCTGACCTCCTGGGGGTCCTTTTGAAGGGACAAGAGCCACACTGGTGAGGCCTCTCAGTAATTCCCTGGGTAGAATTGGTTGGAACCCATCAGAATTCCTGGAGCAGTTTTGGGTGGGTCCCAGGCTGTAGGATTGATGGGAGGAGCCCTTTGGCTCCTATTCTGCTGCTAACGGTCCAGCTGAGGAGTTCAGAGAACTCGTGGAGCCTTTCACGCAGTCCTTGTTCTCAGAATGAGCCAGGGCCGGCCCTGAAAATGGGCTGAGCGAACTGGTGTGATCTGAGGAGCACTGGACAAGCTGCAGCCCCCCAAAGGTTCCCTTTGGTGCTTCAGTACATCCTGGTGCCCCATGGTAAAGCAAAGATCTGTTGCCTGTTTTAAGCTGACAAGTCTTTGCGATTGTGTGACTCTGAAGCCACATTTGCTGTCATTATTATCCAAACTCAGCCAAGTGACTGCTGTTTTCCTGGCCTGTTGGGTGTAACCCAAGATTCCTTTAAAGGGCAAGGGCCTTCCTGAATTGCCGCAGGCTGAGGTGTTTGAGCCCCACAGAGCTAACAAAGTATCTGGATTTATGACAGTTTGTAGAGAACAAGGTCACTGGTAAATAAGACACTAAATGGTCCTTGAGGGAACACAGAGGAGGGAGATAAGGGGAGGGGAGAAGAGGAAAGTTTAAATGAAAAAATGACAAAAACAAACTTCCTCCTTGGCAGATTTGCCCCTTAGGCTGGATATCAGCAAAACCATCTCCTCTTGCTTCTTCTGTAACTAGAAAGTGGCAGGGGTCCAGTTACTCTTTAATACACAGTAAGCCCTGAGTGAGACCCAACTTCATCCTGCCCCGGTGGGGGTGACATGTGTGTTTGTGTTAGAAGTGTTGGCATTTTTCTTTTTTTTCTTTTAGTACCTATAGGGTACCTGCCCTTCTCTCTTTCAGAAAGGCATTTAAACCTCTCAAATAATTGCGGAAGTAAATATTATTATTCTTTTAGAGATGAGATCCCTGGGCTTCAGGGATCTAAATTACCTTGCCTGGGGTTACAAAACCAGCAAGTGACAGCTACATGATTAAGAAAAGTCTGTATGAAATTTGAACCCAGATCTCACTGGACAGGTTCTTTGATGGAGTAGGGGGTAGGTGTGTGTGACCGGACATGGAAGATGTTAACTGAGGCCATATAATCTAGTTGCTCAAACAGGGGGTGGAAGGCATGCAGATATGGGAGAAATCTAAACTGGCTTGTCTGTGCCCCTGTCCATGTTTCTTGGCCTTTCTGGGCTTCAGTTTTCACATCTAGAAAACAGGGATAACAGCAGCCACCCTATAGAGTTGTATTAAGGTATAGGAGGATCTAATGCAGAACCTAGGAGAGAAAGATGGTTACTGTGGTCTCCTGCTTCTCCTTCCCTTTTTCTTTCTTCTTCCCACTCTTCTCTCTTTCTCTCTATTTTTTGAGAGGATTGTGACTGGAAAATCTATAGGAAGTTTTGAGAGCTGAGTGACTATTTAAGTCAAGTGAGGGCTTAGAGCCTAGACTCCCCATTTCTTCAAGGTAATTTTTTATCAGTGCTCGACCCTGACATCTGTCCCTAACTTTGACTTTTAGGGAGAGGCGCTTAGCCTCTTTCCTCCCATAAATACCTGGGTTGCTTATGAAAATTGATCCAGAGGGAGGCTGAGCTTTGCGGAGCTCATGCAAGTGTCTTAGGAGGTGTCTGTAACTAGGGTCTGTCGGGTGAGATTTCATTGGACAAAGGCCACTGGTTTGCTTTCTGTCTGGTATTATAAAGAGGAGCACACTAGACTTGACATCTAAAAATGATATTCTACTGCAGGTTTCGTGCTTCTGTTCTTCCTCTACTTCCCAGTCCTGCCTCCTGCTATTACTGAAACTGTGCTAAACATTCAAAATACAGTGGTGAATAATACATTCTGGTAGGTGGAAATACAAATAGCCAATTACAATGCAGTGTTAAGTGCTAGGGAATGGAATATTAAGATTACTACTATAGGAACCACAGAAGGAGCATCTGACCCAGAGTTGGAAGATCAGGCAAGTCTTCATAAAGGATGGAGTGTCTGGGCTGAGATGAGCAGCTACCTTTATAGTGCTTAATAGATAGACAGTTTAGTTAAAAACAACCTCCCATTTCTTTGACCAAAGAGCTACGTCAGTCCATAAAAGAAAAAAGAAATCAAGAAAAAAAACCAAGCCAAGTGATGGATCATGCCATTATGATCTCTCCTTTGGCCTATAGATTAGAGGCATGTTGTTTAATTTCTAAATAACTTGAATTTGTAAAGATATTTTATTATTATTGATTTCTAATTTAATTCTGTTATTATCAGGAAACATACTCTGTGAGTTTTCAAGCTTTGGACTTTGAGTCTCATTTTTTTTTTTTTTTTTGAGAGGGCATCTCTCATATTTATTGATCAAATGGTTGTTAACAACAATAAAATTCAGTATAGGGGGGTCAACGCTCAATGTACAATCATTAATCCATCTTTGAGTCTCATTTTATGGTCCAGAATGTGGCTTATTTTGTAGAACTTTGCATGTATACTCAAAAATTAATGGCATTCCTTAGTTGTTGGATGGTTAATAAATATCAGTTGATAAGAGTGTTTCACTTTTCTATATCCTTACTGATAGTTTGTATAGTTGTTCAGTCAATTATTCCTGAGAGAAATGTTAACATCTCTTGCTTATTCTTTCTTTCTTTCTTTAGTTCTGTCAGTTTTTGCTTCGTGTATTTTGAAGCTCCATTAGAAAGTGCATACACATTTGTGATTGTTAAATTCTCTTGATTAATTGACCCTTTGTCATTCTGAAATACCCAGGATTTGAGGTGAATTTTTATGCAGATTTTATTCCCCCTCATTGTGGCTCACTCTTTTCTGACCTGCCCCTTATCAATTTCCAGTCTCTGACATTCCTGAACTCTTCCACCTTTTGCT